CGAAAAAAAAACAGACATCATAGATGCTTGAAAAGTAAACAAATGTTCTCTCATATTCAAAAGTTAGTACGACATTGTTTAGACTTTGCTGCGTTTAACATCTTGGCGCTTCCACTTCCTCAAAGCCATAATGATTTCATAAAAGAAACAGTGACAAAAGGTAGTCTTTTTATTCTATCTATTGAATGGCCTGACGTCACAGGAATCAAAATTTGCAGATTCAGGCACATATTTCATTCAATTTTCGTTTTCCTCATCCTCCGCGGAAGTTTATTTTTTCACCGTTTCGCTTCGGCTGCCGTGCGACGATTTTTCGCCTTTCCCACGATTGTTGTTAAATGCTGGTGTAGTCAGCTCTTCCTGGAACCTGGATTAACCAAGTTAAGAAGATTGAAGTGAATTGTCTTCTAGAGACGTCTAGTAGCACTATATTACCTTGGATAAATGAAAGCTTTGGGAGTCTGGAATGGGATCAATAAAACGCATCGACAGATTGGTCCTTGCAAAGTATCTCAGCACTGATCCTTCTCAAATGACGATCTCTCTGCAAAAAACTTATTTTTCTATTTTCTCCATTTAATCATGCAACAAGACGAAGAGCTGGTGTACTCTTCCGTTAGGTTGTTAATCTTTCTTTACTCGGTTTCCCCAATGAGATGTTAGAAGCTTTTTATTTTTCATAATTTCTACAAATTTTCTCACTCAGTACGAATTTTCATATTGCCTTGAAGACAATAGCTTTGAAGTGCTTCACTGTTAAAGCTTCTTGAAATTAAGGCGCGAAAAATGGCACTGATATATATATTAAATTATGAGAAGTATATTAATTAGAATTTACTTCATCTGCGTAAACAGTTGAGTTGTAGACTAAATATTTATTCATAATTTGAGGAAATGTCAGTTAACAAATAAAGTCGCAGACACCTTTCTCACTAGTCATCAAGCTAGTCGTCGGAAATCGTGAGAGATCATCCGATAAATTTCCACTCGTCTCCGTTCCGAACCAAAGTAGCACAGCTCACGTGGTTTGATATGAGTCATATATTAATGACTCTGGAGAAATTTCCAGCACCGATAATCTATTGAAGTAGTTAACGAACGATTCATTCAGTATAATGTAAAGAGCTGCAGTGGCTGACGTATGCAAGTTTGGCCTTTTTCAAAGAAATATAATTCTTTTTTAAGCATTCATTCACTCACTGAAGGCAAGCCGCTTAGAGTTTACGCAGTTAAAATGTTTGTTCAAGCGATTGTGGGCATCGTGGTATTAGTCGCAGCTCTCCGGACGCATGGATTGATTCAACAACTTCTGGATATCTGACTCCTTCTCGACTTCAGTCGCTGGCTCTCTCGAAGATGAATCACTTAATGCACAATTTAGTACCGGTTTAAGCGTCTTAACCATCGTAGCAAAGTAAACCAGTGCAGGAAAACATACAATGTTCTTCTGTAAACAACATCCCATGTTGAGGCTTACTAATTTAAAAAACCGAAAAGATTCCTGTACAAGTCCAACATATCTTATTTCACTTCACTTTACTAAGGTGATGTTTTATTTCGTAATAAAATAAGTTCAGCAAACGTTCATCCCTTTCCGTGATTTTTGAAAACGAATGATTTCAGTGACAAATTTGTGGAAGACAATTAATGGACACCAATACGACTCTAATGGGTTACTATCTGATCTGGCGGGAACGTGCATCGCATTTAGCTACACCAGTTTTCGCTCACATTTCTTTTAACGGGAGAAGTGGGCCACTCGATCCCCACGCCTCCCATTAACCGCCTCACCAAGACTTCTTCTCCCTTTCATTGTAACATCCAGGGGATTTCCATCGTCCTTCCACATAAGAATCAGTATAGCCTAATACGACTCTCTTTCAATAAATGGAAGCGATGAGACCATTTACTATCATCACTCTTATTCTGCTCGGAGCAATGCATGGTCACACCAATAGAACGACAACAGGTAACAGTCCAAGCAGATTTTCCTTATTGGAAAAATTTATCTTTCCGATACCTCTGCTTATAAAATTGAATAGTCAATATCATCACTCCCACGGCTTTCACCGAAAAGCTCAATTTAGAGCCACATTTCAAATTACTGCCTAAAAAGCCCTGATTATGCACTTTAAGGAAAAAGCTTTATGCGTGTACTGCTTTAGTTCGAGTATTTGAACAGTGAGTACTAACTAATTGTTGAATATCGATTGAATATTGAACGTCGGTGATGAGATACTGAAGTAAAGTAGGCATAGTTACGAATTTTTATTTGATAACAAACCGGTAAAGTAAACCAATTTCTAACGATGAAAACAAAGAGTTTCTATGCAGTTCATTGAATTATGCCACTTTATTCATTCACTTTCGCGCGAAGCTATACATAACATAATAGTTGCAAAATTTGATCTTCTCCCTTGTCTATGGCTCACTTCTCCTTTAGCTCTTTAGCAACGTGTCAAAAGGCGTTACCATTTATTGTCTTCGTTGAGCGAACAGTATTGATGTTTACAAGAAACTTATGTGGATTAGTCAAAATCTTTAGGCACACGCATAATGAACCACAAAATAATTCATAGTCAAAAATGAGGTTTCTAAATAAATACAGTTCTCCGCTTCTAATATCATTCCAGGCTTTACGACCACTTCTAAGCGTTCAATAATCCGAATTATGCGTTCTCTTAATAATATTAGATTTGGCTTGTTTATTGTAAACACCACCCAGCCCAAGATTTGCTCTCTAGTGGTCCACATTTTTTCCTGAAAACAAATGCATCAGTAGTATCCAACTTGCCTGTAGATGACAATATGCACATTCGATTGGCTTTTAATTTCACCTTAGTGTCCCAACCTGGAGCCATTGCATTGCATGCATTTTGCATTTTTACTGTCGAAGTATGAGTGTATATGGAAATTAGACTAAATATGCTGTAAATGAAATTGACTGCATGCTCCTTTCCTCCAGCTATGCTCATATCTGCTCACTATGAAACAGATAATCGATTCAGATGAATTCTGAAACCGGTATCAATTCCAGAATTCGTATTTTGATATAAATTCGTATCAATCGATGAAGACCTGAATATTAGCAAGAAAGAGTGGCTTTCAAGAAGATTTACGTGCTAAGAGATAGTTCATATGATTCCATCCTACAGAGGCTCTAGAACTTGGGGATGAAGATTTTGCCGATGATTCGCCCCTGGAGAAATGTCACGTATTCGACTTCATTAAGCATCATTATAGGTATTGAACAAATGTCTAGTTTTTCATAATGACTTGTGGTGGCTTACCAATAAATTTTGATTGAAACAGTGTGAGATAAAACCAAAGATTCTGCATATATGTGTGGCACCTATTAGCCACCTCGCGGCAAGCGTACTCAAACTGTTCTAATTTTGTGAGAGTTTAGAAGAAACAAGTGCATTCATACGGATATCTCTTCAGGAAGATTAATTAGTTGGCCGACTTCAACGTCAGTACGACATTTTTTTCAGAACTCCGTAGTTACACTTGTCGTATGAATGATTGTCGACTGGAGTTTGAAGGAAACCGCAATGAATGGATCGCAATCAACGACAATGGTTGTTATCAGGTACGCGAGAACCTTAAAAAAAGTTCACCAAAAGTTTTACAAAAAGATGACATTTTGGGTTCATTAATTTTCGACATAGAAAATGGATAGAATCGGTTTAGTCGTCTTCTTACTAGCGATTTAAGTGATAAGATAGATAGCGTAGAAAACTTCATTGTCCCCAGTGTTCAAAAATAGAAGAGATTTCAAAGTCCCTGTGGTGCGAAAATGCTTGGAAAACCCTAAAAAGAAATAAGGAAAAGGAAGGAATGATCGCTAACTCTTAGAAAAAACAGCTTTCTAGACAGTATTTCATTGTTTCTATTACGAAGAACAAATCTGAAGTTTCCATCTGTATCTACTAATCATGGCACAACATTGAGGAAGATTAATAGTGTAAGAAAAAATTTGACATCGTTAGAAAGATATATCATCGTCAAATTTAAAAAAACAAGGAAGAATTGTTTTTTTGCAAATAAGATATTAGCAAGAAAGCTTATTTGCACTTTTTCTCGGATTTTTCTACTAGAGAGAGCTTTCCATTTGAAAGAAAACCTAACACTTTGTAGCGAAACAAAACTATAAGATTGACAATGAGTACAAAAATATAGTAATTATCTCAAGTGCATTATGGTATTCAAACCAAGTTTCTTACAGTTTCATAAGAGGATCACAAATAAATTCTATGCCTATTTGACTGTTTTTTGATCACGACTAGAAATTTCTCAGTAGGGTATTCGTATCTAATGGCTTCACTTGTGGTTGATTCGAGTTCCTCGCATGAGTTACGGTGATAAAGGATCTTCTCTTCCTCAAAGAAAATTGACAGAGAGAATCGCTTCTTCATGGCGATGATCTACTTGCAACATAGCCCTATCAAATCGTCAATTTCATAAACTTTCAGCTATTGTGGCTGGTTAAAGGTTTTTGATATCAATCAATGCAATACGGAAACTTTAAGCATTTGTCTACATAATGCTTTTCGTAGACATGCGCTACATCATTCATTGGTTTAGTTTACATAGATAAGTTCAAGTCTAATGTTTTAGTTTCACGTTGAAGAAGACCTTGAGAGAAACCTAAATTTGGGAGAGCGTGTTGTCACTGATGGCAACCCTGATAAGGATAACTGAAGCGAAATCTTGCTTAATATTCCAAAATGTTTTCTATATACCTAAGAGAATTGAGTGGTGAGCACAAACGCGGCCTCAGGCGGGAATCGAACCCGCGTTTCGTCCTATCCGGGGACGCGTGCTCTACCACTGCGCCTTCGAGGCACGCCTGCCCGACCACTCATTCTTCGAACATCTCAATGTCAGCTATCAGCCACCAACCTTTGACAGGTTTGGTCGGATAGGCGATTTCGCTTTATAGGATGAAACGGCAGAAGATAAATGAGATGTTGAAAAATGAGTGGTCGGGCAAACGCGCCTCGGCGGTGTAGTGGTAGAGCACGCGTCCCCGGATAGGATGAAACGAGGGTTTGATTCCCGCTTGAAGCTGCGTTTTTGCTTACCACTCAATTCTCATAGGTATATAGAAAACATCATAACAATGCGAAATGCATTAAAGAACTATTAACTTCAAAATGTGCCAAATTTCGAGTTATGAATATAATAGGACCGTTTTTTCCAGGACCTGTTATTTAGAAACTTAGATATTGATCACATAATTCAGTGCTTGTTCGATGAGCAAACCCAAAACTGTTAGCAAGAATATCTTTAGTTGCGAGTGTTTTCTTAAGACCTCAGCTCAAATTTCAATATGCCAAGTATTCATTTTTGAGCCATGCATGTCATGTGGTCTGTTAGAAAATGGCTGACTAATAGAGCCCGATACACGTGTTTCGACCTTGCTGTCTCGTCAGTCGGGAGTGTTACCCTTTCTCGTCTTTTGCCAATCCTGTGTGGCTTCTTCGGTCCCCACACTAAGAGTTAGCGACAACAAACGTTTCACACTCTATGTGCGGCAGAAATTATCACCGATTAATTACGTGCGGCTCAAAAATAATTTTTGGGCACATTGAAATTTGTGCTGTGGTCTCAAGAAAACACCCAAAACGAAAGGTATGATATATTAAATATACTAGCCAAGAGCAATCGAGTGTACAAACACTCTGTGTTCGGTGATAATTTCACTGGACATAGAGTGTAAAACGTTCATCGTCGCTAATTCTTAGTGTGAGGACTGTAGCACCCACACAGGATTGGCAAAAAACGAGAAAGGGTAGCTGCCCGACTGAGGAGACTGCGAGGTTGAGACACGTGTATCGGGCTTTATAAGTAGCCCTTTTTTAACAGACCATATGACATACGTGACTCAAAAATGATTATTTAGCATTTCAGCAGATATGTTTATTGATTAAATTGATTAAAATGAGTAAAAATCCCTACTAAATGAATTCTTTACCTTTACTGATTTCTAGCAGTGGTATGATGTTATAAATATGCATCTAAAAGTATTGAATGGTATGCGAAGCACTCGACATTAGGCGGGAGTAGAATACCACGTTTCACCCATATCAGGAGCTCGTGATACCACTAGACCACTGATGTTACCGTCTTCCTGCGCATCTATGAGTACTGAGTGATATGCAAAATATTCGACATCATGAGATGCATATATAGATGCATGTGCAATTAATAAGCCTTCCTTTTAGTAACCTCGAACCCGCTAATCAAAGGAAAAAAGAAGCCAATTTTTGTTCTTTGAAGAACAGAGCGGCAACATGCGCAGGATGCCTTCACTTAATTGCAGAGTCACAAAAATAGATTCGGAATACGGACCTTGCTATGTGAAAAAAATGCTAAAGCGACCGACTATGTAAATGTGTGTTTCAGTACTCTTTTATGCCGTGAAAATAGTCTGTGCTTTTATTGATTTGTACGAATCATTACTGACAGCCTACTTTGACAACCTATCTACTAATGACGATTAATTTATGGGAGTCGACGCGGTTGATAGCTTGCAGCAATAAAATTTCACAGAAGAAATCATATACTCTAAATCTTCAGTGTTTTCACTGCCTTTTCGCGGTGTTATGATGTTTCATAAATACCTAAGAAAATTGAGTGGTGAGCAAAAGTACGACTTCAGACGGGAGTTGAAGCAGCGTTTCATCCGTACCGAGGGCGTGTGTTACCACTACACCACCGAAGTACATTTGCACCACGACTTATCAATATCTCTATGACAACTGTCGGCCACCAACCTTTAGCAGGTTTGGTCAGATATGCGATTTCGCTTCGCAAACCCAGCTTAGCTGGTAGCCATGGATGTCCTTCCCCGGTATGCATGAAACACGGGTTGGGCTACCGTTCTGAGGTCGCACTTTTGCTCACCACTCAATTCTGCTAGAAAGTATGTACATGAACTTCTTTAGGAGTGACGAAAACGTCATACTCATATTTATTCAAAGATCTTATTTCACATGTTCAGATAGTAGTCTTTCTTCTTTGATATTGAAAGCTATTCGTCTTTCCCTGTTTTTTTTTTGGATCCTTGGATGTGATCGGTTTGACGAATTCGTTCTGTCGATGAATGTCGTTTAACGCTGGTCGAAGTGCTCGTCACTGAAACCCACAAATATCTATATTAGAGCGCTTCTAGGCATTTATCAAAAGCTTTGTCGAAATTTCTCGAGAAAAAGGAGTGTTTCTTAGGCAAGTATGATGTCAAAACGCCACTCATGGAAAAATGTTGGACTTGATTGTGCGGTAGGGCGCAACAAACAATCACATAGGCAAAGCCATTATGCAGGGCGCAAAATTTTTAAAGACTTGGTAAAATGAATGCGAGTAAACGATTTGAATGCAAGAGCTCCTGGAATTTACACAACATATGTGATGGCGAAGCATTTGTAAACTTATTTTGTGTTTCAACATTATAATTTTTTCAAGTATTTCGCACCTAACTTTGGCAGTTCACTAGTGGTATTTCTCGGCGTTATCATAAATGTAGTCGAGTGATGGCTGAGATGGTTGGCCCTGAAACTTGAAGTAGCCGTGTTTTGAAGAGAGGTGTGGCTTGTACTACAGAGCCACATGCCATAAATTTTTCGAGCATGAAAGAATCGGAGCCTTTGTGGGCCGCACCGAAATCGAGAGAACGCTTCAAAAGGTTGAGCTTTTAAAATAACTCATTCTCTGAAAACTACTCTTTTTCAAATTCTGTCCAAGGAATCACGTTTTCCTACTTTTTATTCTCAATTATGAAGTTGCGTGTGGTTCAGTGGTTAGAGGTGCTCTGCGACACACATGGTTATCAATAGATAGTCAATGGTTTGAGCTCACTCAAGGCTCACCAAGACTTCCATTCCTCTACAGCTGGCAAATCAAATCCAGACTTGTCTGAGAGGATGGCAACATTAGCTTGATACATCGATAGCTACTGCGAACTATTGTATAGATCAGATATGTATTCAATCACCTTAAGCGAGGCCAAAAACTTAATTCTAATGCATGGCACGAGGATTGATCAACGCCGAGAACTTTATCCTTTTATCCTTACTTATGTAGCAAAAAAGACTGATCTCTTCTTCCTTAGATTGTTAAGTTGAAGCCTTACCACTCAACGTTTTAACAGAAATCCATAGAAGGTTTTTTCATTATTAGCAAGTTTGACTAATCTTGTATCTCAGTGAAATCTTTCTATATGTTTTGGTTGCAGAGTTGGCTTAAAGCGTTCTCCTGTCAAAGCTTTTTGGGAAAAACAAAAGCAGTGCAGTAATCCCACTCTTAAGTATCAAATCATAACAATGCATCGATTAAGATATTGAAAGTTACTTCAACCGTTCAAGGAGTAAATTATGGACTATATTTCAATCTATATCATGTGAAAATACCGGTAGGTAGATAAAGACGTAAAACTGTTTATCACTAGTACCACGTTAATTGTCGAAAAGCTCAAGTGCGCATCTAAAAAGTTTCTAATTGTAAAATGAGGGGAGGAGGCTTAGGTCACTTAACCTGATGACGAACCCACACGCGAAGTATTCAAGGACCCACGCGATGATGGATGAGAGGAAGCGAGTTGAATGCAATAAGTGTTAATATTCGTCTTTTGACACTGTTTTTCACTTCAGAAGTAAAAGCCCGAAAGAATAACATTGTTATCGAAGAACATCGAATGTCCAAACGCACTATAATCATTACTCACTTCTCATGAGTTTTTCCTCTTTCTTTTTTGAATTCGCTCTTGATTTATCAGCACTCGACATCGAATTCCTTTGCAATATTTGGCAATCTTTTCACTGCACAATGTCATGGATTACTTTTTGATGAAGAAGAATGATAAATTGACAGAAAGCATTTCTTACTGGCGAATCTGGATGTTTTCGATTTTTTAGTAGCCTTTCACCATCTTGCTCTTGTGAAGAAGTATTTAAGTGGGTGCGTGCAGCGCAGTATTCAAAAATCTTGTTGTTTGGATGAGGCTGCGCAAACCACGTCTTCTATACCTCTACAGTTGCATTTTCAGTAGTTTCGTGTATAAGATAGAAACATTAACTGATACTCCTGTCAGCTTCTTAAAATCCTTGCGTGAATCAGATATGGATTTAATTATCTCCACAATGCTATAAATGGTGACGAATATAGTGGCACATGTTAGAGAGATAGTTCGAAATCGAACATGTTCCACTTTTTCATAAAAATGGCAACTAAACTAGATGCTTGCTAAGGTACTCAGTAGAATCGACTTTATTATTTTGGGAAATCGAATAATAACTTTCAATCATTGAACATTATTGAGGACCTATGGGCAAGTGACTAATAAAGCTCGGCTCGGCTCGGCTCAAGGCAATGTTGATCTCCCATCCTCCTCCAAAACTCCTCTGCAGTCAAAAACCAATGCTTTTCAGAACACTTCAGCCTGGACATCTTTAAGATTGCAAGATGTGCTATCATTGTCCTAAGACGCTTACAAAGAAGACAAATTTTCATTCAAGTGATGAGCGCTCGGCGACGAGCAAAATGTTAGAAGTACGAGGATCCGCAAAGTAAAAACCAGTGACACGGATCAAATGAAGTGATAAAATTATAGCCTATTAGACGCAATCTTCCACCACATGAAGAAGACAGAGCTGAAGGACGAACAAAGAAAAGGAATAGTAAAAAACGTTTTCTCAACAGTTTTCTCCAGTTATTTCAGTTCTGTGCCACAATAACTATGGCAAATTTTTGATGACTCTCACACGTACTTAGAACCTTCTATATGAATTCTACATAGAAATTTTATGGAGGGAGGGATATTGAACAAAAATTTAACATAGTGTTGAATGGCTTTTAGAAAATGTCTGAAATATTTCTGTGCATGACTGGACAACAAATATTGTGTTGACAGCAGCATAACCTTCATTTTGTTCGCCTTCTCAAATTAGTTGTCCACAAAGACTCTTGAAATTGCACATAAATTCTGCTCAAGATTGGCACTTGCTTAGTTTATGGAGATGATGTCGGTTATTACTTGTTAAGTGTACTTTCTATGGAATAAGTGTTCGTCATAGAAAGTCATCCACCTTTTCGGAGATCAAGAGCTTCTCCCAGAAAATTCGATTAAAATTTTTATATCAAGCAGGATTGAGCCTTGTCCATATAAAATATTGTGGAACTCTAACCTTATGCAGAAATAGTAAGCAGAATCTCCAGTATCCAAAATTTCTTTCATAAAATTTTCATTCTCCCACAGGGCATGAAATGCTAGCTAAGAAAGGTTTTCAAAGAATTCATGAAATTTTATGATGGCTTTGAATTAACAGAGTAGTTTGAGTGGGTTTATGCAAGATTTGCAAAGGCAAAATATTATAGTTGAAATTTCCAATGTTTTGACTGCATTTTTTCGCAGTGGTACGATGTTGCCCATACACTTAAGAGAATTGGGTGGTGAGCAATAAACATGGGAATCGAAGTGGCGTTTCATTCTATCCGTGGGCGAGTGCTATACCACTACACCACCGAGCCACATTTGCTTAACTACTCATTCCCGCTTGAGGCCATGTTTTTGCTCGCCACTCAAATCTCTTAGGTGTGTATGAATTATTATGTTACACAAATAATTTTATATAAACAGTGTGTTCTCAATCATTTTTCACGGTATTGCTTGAAAATAAATTGTTGGCTTCATGGTGATTGCTTCCAAAATTTGTTCCAAATAGGTGATTGTGTAGGTAACGCGTATCAACCCATCTATATTTTGCTTTAGAAGCTTACTTATGTAATAAGGAATTCAAGTGAGTTTCCAGGAATACGAAGCCGAGGTGGAAGAAAACTCTTGAGTTCTGCCCCCTTCAATGTAGTGGAGCCATTGATGCCATGATTATCAATCAGGTTAGAGTTATAAAAGTCTTGAAGAATTGATAAATAATTGAATGCTGTACACGCAATGCTCGCAAGCTACAAGTTTTGAGCTGACGGATAATTTCTCTTGAACTGCGACACTAAGTCAATTGTTACTTATTTCGAGAATTCAATGAGCCAACTATGACCACTATTACAACCAATGATATGCAACCATTGCTGGGCAAGATTGGATGCCTTCATCCCAGAAGGACTGATGCTGGCGCAAAATAGTCAGTATGGTCACTTTGAAGTGGTTGTAGTCATATTCCCTCAGATGCTGCTCAGGTTGCAATAGAGATCATAGTTCGATGAAGCAATATCAGGGCTATATAGTGGGTATGGTACTGTGGTCAAGTCCAGTTTCTTCAAATGTTGCGATTCGCAATGTGCGGGAGTCGAGCGATATCCTAGTGAATGGCGACACTGAGCCGTTTTAGACCTTTCTCTCGGACTGCTACAGCCATCTTGCGGAGTTGTTTCCCTTAGACAACGGTGTCTATTTGTTGTCGAGCAGTTCCCAAAATAGCATATCCTTCCAAACAACAAAACCGAGAGCATAATCTTTCTAACATAGAACTTGAACCTGGGTTGAGCTGGACGGGTCTTTGCCGCGAAGCAGTAGGCGTGGCGGTGTTGTCCTCGTATGAGATGCATAACTCATCTGAACTGGTGACCGAATTAAGAAACTTCTCCTGTGCAGTCGTCACGGAACACTTTCGCACATGGTTACGTGTGCAGCGCCATTATGGTCAATTAAAGAGTGAGGTGATCAGCAACGCGTCACTCTACGGTACCCATTCGCATTTAGATAGCGTGCAATGATGCTACGGTCGTATACGAGTGTCTGGCTAAAGCTATTAGAGCATTCTCCAATATATCTCAGCCTTTTGGCAGTAACTCGATTTGAAATAGGCCGATTAAAAACTATAGTAAGATAGAAATCATGGAATAACCCAGTGATTAATCCATATTGGAGTCTTTCAAGGCTTATTGTTATGTTAGCAGAAGGTTTTCCTTATAATAAACTGAGTAAACCGTCACGAAGTTCAATTTCTATGTTTCTCCATAATTTTTTCAATTGTTACGAGTTGCTATTTAGACGACGAAATAAAAAAAATAATTGCTCATCGCAGTTATTTGCTTATTGTTCTTTAATTTTCGCTTTTATCAGAGCAAACCTCATGATAATTGCGTGATCGGAATCAGTGTGAATGTCGTTCAACGACGAAACGATTGGTTCCTGTGGAGAGGGGAGGACTGTCAGAAGGAAGCAAGTGTTTTCAACATAAAATGCACATACAATGACAGGTAAATTTTTAGCAGTTGTCAGATTTGTGACTTCGCCATGGGGCCCGTGAGACAAATACATCGGTTCCTAAGTTTGCTCGTATTTTAACACTCTTGTGGCTATATTTCTCATTGTACCTTGCCGCTAAACATGAATTTAGCCAAAATGAAAAACAAAATTGTGATCTTAACCACGGCTCAAGCTTGATTGGGGCTCAATGCCGATTCAAACTCGCTGCGAGCGATTGCTGACAGTCACCCCAACGGTTTAAGCACAGCTGAAAGTAAGGCAGAGCGAGAGCTCCATGGTATAGTGGAAAGCTAAGGGATCACCGGAAAGGATGATCAAACGTTCAAAGCCTCTTGGCCTTTAAATTTTGCTCGTATCTCAGAGATCTTGCCGTTATATCTCACATCATACTCGACCGTGGGAGGTGAATTGGATGCACGTAGGAGATATGTAAGGATGCATCAACAATAAATTATTTCAAGAACTGCAGCATTTATGACGCTAAATGAACGATCCTGAAATCAAAGAAAAGATATCTCTGCAATTACTGACGAGCGTAAAGTAAAAAGATGTTTTCAAATGTATCGCAGGCAAAATACAGATAACCACCTACGACTCAAATTTTTTTTTGTTTAACCGCTTCTGGCAGTAGTATGATGTTTCAAATATAACCATTGATATAGAGTGATGTGCGGAACTATCGCGTCAGGCGGAACTAGAAACGTCACTCTTTGAGCGAGCACGTGCTCTATCCGTTACACTACTAACACCCATCTTGCACACCAGTCTCCCTACGCTATGGCTCATCTATCTGTCAGCCGCCAGCCATCAACGGCTTGGCCCGGGTAGTCGGTCTCGACATTGAACCCAGTCACGCTGACAAATACTGGGCGTTAAAGAACTACCCGGGCCAGGTTGTTGATGGGCGGCTGACAGATAGATGAGCCAAGCGTAGAAAGACTGGTGTGCAAAATGGACGTCAGTAGTGTAGCGGATAGAACGCGCTCCCGGAAAGAGTGAGGTGCTGGTTCTAAACCCGCCTGACGCAATAGTTTTGCACATCACTCTACATCAACCACGCACAACCTTTACCAACGCTTTTTCTCCCTTCAGGCTTCGATTTTTGTGTTCTTTGAAGAGCACAGAGATTTGAAGCTGCTAATTTTCTACCTGGCCTGTCATCACCTTTTTTATTTAGCGGATCTTAGTACTACTTACATTCGCTTCGCTTCCTCTCACCTACCCTCCACAAACGTCTTCAAACATTTCATGTGCTGCTTCGCTTCAGCTTGAGGATTCCGTCTTCTTCATGAATGCCGTAGAGTACTGGTCAAGACGATTTCCTTCGTCATTTTGGAGGCAGACTAGCCGAGGCATTTCCCAATTGTTTAGCTGATTGATTACAAGAGACTATGAAAGATCGATTCTCATTAAACCTTGTTGAAAAAATCAGTAATTTTCACATGATGGAACTTACCCGACGTTGGTGTAGAAACAGTTATTTGGCCAATAAATCGACATCTTCGTTCTCTCCAAAGCCGATAATTCTAGTCAGTTCTTCACCGATGTTCGTTTATCAACACCGCGCTACTCCGTCCTCAAAGATGCCAGTAGTGTAGAAAAGTTGTTCCAGATTTCGCCAAAATATTAGCTTTTCTCATTTTATTTCATATTAGTCTCACACCATGGGCGCTATAGCCGAGTGGTAGTGATGGTCGTCGCAGCACGCGCGGAGCTGAATCCCACCCGCCAACTTTCTGTCGTCAGCAACGAACGCACCGTGGAACGCCACAGCTAGGGTATCCTCGAAATTCATAGGAGACGTGCTCAGCAAGTATTCTACGATGTTCAGGAAGAAAACCGAAAAACGAAATGATTGCTAGAGGCACTGGGATCCGCACAGAAAAAAAAACACTGAGGACGGGCCAATAAAGTGTCAAAAGACATTTCAAGCTGTTGCTTATACATATAGGGCTAGGTTAGTGCAGTGGCTAGTGATTTAGTGTGCCATAAAGCGAGGTGAGAAGCATAACGCTAATCTGAACACTCACTCCAACACTCTTTTGTAATCGCAACTGAGCGTCTAACGTTCTAACACGATTACCCACGAGTTGAAACAAAAATCGTCACGACCACGTTCCTACGCCATTCATGAAGAAGGCAAAATTCTCAATCAGTGCCCAAATCAACACGAAAATCCTTTTAAGAAATTTGTGGGAGACGAATAAGAGGAAGCGAATCGAATGTTGAAAGTGCTGGGATTCCGCACAGTAAATTCGTCGACTCATGTAAAATAAAATGGTTATTCATCACAAGCTCCAAGTTCCAGTGTCATGACAATCCCAGTGCTCCTCTTAATTTATTCGCTTTCTTGGCTTCCTTTCTTCATCGATGTCGCTGATAGTCGCTCGAGTAGTCGCCTTGGAATCGTCAAATCGCTCTACTAATACGTTCCTATGCATTTGAGACAACGCTCTACTGACCTTTTGAAATTGGTTGTAACTTTCTGCAAGCAAGTCTGGAACCCAAATGCAGACCTAACAATAAGTGATTTCAGTAACCAGGATAATTTGAGCGAATCAACGCCCATAAGTATTGCAAGTGTACCACTAACCACTAAACTACACGTACTTTTGATTAACTTATACTTGAGCTTTCCACAAAAACGTGGTGAGAGTGCTTGCGACAATCAGACTACGTTATGCGAATCAATTTCAAAGATTAGCTGAAGGAATGCTTTCTAACTTGAGCTCATGCAACAAGGGGAACCCATGCATACAGTGCGCCTTGTTGAGCTTTATGTGAGTAAATCTTGCACGCATTAGGGACGCGTGAAGGCATTCAGTGTTACCCACTCTGGTCGCAGAGTGATTGATGATACAACTGAAGCTTATCAAATAAGCCTTTTATTCACTGGTCGTTTATCGATGGATGCCGGCTTTCATGTTATAAAAACTCAAAAGCTTTAAAACAATGCTAAAACGTCCCCTTACATCATAATTGCTGTATTCATGCGCTCAAGGAAACGTGTATGAATAAGTCGACCACTTGCTGTTATTATTGATTATTCAGTTCTTTATTCAATGGCAAAAATCCCTTCTCTCAAATGTCTCCCTCATCTGTGGTTGCTTCATAATATTCTTGCTAACTGTTAACATCCTAGCTTTTCTGAAAATTTTTCTAGTAATTTATATCTATAAATTTTAGTACACTTTTTTAAGCTAGATTTGCGACAATTTACAGAGGCGTTGCAAGAGAGGGAAACGAGTTAGAAGAGTTTTCGGCTCAAGTGGAGACTACGAAATCGGATGTTCAAATGAATGACAACAAGTCTAAATACGGTTCCATGGACACTCTCAAAAAGAAGAATGAAAAGAAAATTGGCAAAGTCGCAAAGAAAGTTGACGATGATAATATTCTTCCCAGAGAAATTGATCTTTTATTGAAGGCTATGTTCCCATCGTACAGAAATTAGCTATTCTATAGATGCAAAGCATTTATTCTGTTACGTTTGCAGATGTATGGTAAAAATGATTATCTGATAAAGATTACGATAACGTAGAAAGCATACATAGACGGAAATAATTCACGGAAGGTGCAATACACTGGCGCAGTACTGAAAATGTGGAATTCTTGACTCTTTTCAATCGACGCTCTCAGAAATTACTATTCGTCAGAGCCCCACTGGCTCAGCCAGCAGCTTAAGAATCAAGAAAACAAGACATTTTAGGTTTGTGCTGCCTTTTTCGTAGTTTTATGGGGTTTCATATATACCTAAGAGAATTGAGTGGTGGGCAAAAATACGAGCTCAACGGGAGTCGAATCCGCGTTTCATCCATACCGAGGGCGCGTGCTACCACTGCACCACCGAGGTACATTCGCACACTTTAGTTAAAAGTCTATTCCTTTTAAGTATTCTATGTTCATAGATAAGAAATATTGAACACAGCGATGGAATTTGATGAGATTTACTGATTTGGAGCAGTTCTTTCCTGCGTAATAATCTATTTCGAATAAACCTAAAGACTATCGTTGTATTTCAGTGAAACTTTCGTTGTAAAAAAATTTGAACTCAGGCGGTTATCATTTACGAAAAAAATAATCTTGTAAATACCTTGCTAAAGTGGTCAGCTGGAAGGCTAAAGTTTTTTTTTGGTGATTTGGATTACGGAACAACTGTAATACTGACTGAGGCAACTTGTGTGGAACGTGATTATACTTTGAGGTATTTCTTTCCTTAATGACTTTCACAATCGCCGATATGAAAGCAATGGGTTGGACGTTCATTGCAGTAAAAGACATGAGAAGTTTCCTCGCGCAAACCAAAGCTGTCTGTGTGTAATATTCCATCCCAACGCGCAGCTTAAAAGCACAATTTTAATGCAGACGAAGAGTAGTTGAATCTGCTAATTTTTCTCATAAACATATAATCCTTGAAAGAACATTATGAATGCTCTTGCTTGAACAATTGGTGTTTTTCCTCTGAGTGATCTGATCCCATTTAGGTGCTCAGTGGCTGACTTGAACATAAATGGTGGTATTTTCTTGAACATTGATACCATCCTTTACTATGATTTGAAAACATTCAATATCAAAAAATAAAAAGGATCATTCATCGGTTAACATTGATTTCTCAATTTTGAATGCATTAATCATCTCGAAACAATTATATCATTCATAAACAATCTATGTAGAAAAGTAATAAAGGGAAAGAGCTGTCTCAAACTGTGAATTTACTCTAAGCTATCTTATGAGCTGTCTCTTTTATTTGGAAATCAGCGTGAGGTTGGTACACCTTCAAAACTGACGGTTAGAGTGTTTTGGGCATTTTACCTTTCTTAGAGCTGTTACGCCACTTATATAAGTATGGTCAGCGCTGTGCTCTCACACACAAAAAAAATAATATAGAGATCATAATTACTTTACACTATGAGGAAGCGCCATGGTCGAGTGGATGTGATGCTCGTCGCGGCGCGCGTGGAGCCGAGCACCACCCCCACCTCTCTCCGGCAGTCAACAGCAACGTCGTATGGAACGCCACAGCAAGAGTATCCTCGAGATTGCAAGGAGATTCACTCAACCAATATTCTACGGTGTTCAAGAAGAAGACGAAAACTGAATTGAATGCTAGAAGTACTGAGATCGCACAGTGAAAAAAAAAACACGGATGTGACGACGGATCAAATAAAGTGCTAAAGTTTACAATGAATTGATGAATATAAACTTCAAACATTCATGGGCAGCAACACACAGGTGATCTTTCCCATACAAGTGTTCATAATGCTCTGAAAGAGGCGAAGTGGCCGAAACGTCATTAGTCGATTTCGTAAGAAACAAAATAAGTTAAGTGAAGTGTAAAACTATCGCGTATGCAAGGAGTGAGTGACAATTCCGGTGACCGGTGCGATGTGACCGAAATTCTCCAACTAGTGATATTATTTCGCCTCCAGCGATTCAGATTTCTGAGTCATGCCAGCGATGCTACTTCCTCGAGTATTTACTGCTCTTCCTTGACATTCATTGACATATAGTCGAAGACCGTGGCTAAAAACATAATATTATATTGAAATTGATGAATAAACTCTTATGGAAAAACAAGAAAAAATCGTTATTGTACACTGCAGTCTGCTTCTCAAAATTGAAACATCAGCTGAGTTTTCTTGAAAAAAAAGTTTTTCCTTTCTAACGGAGGGTGTACAAACTTTACTGTAATCATACAGTCTCTGCATATGTAAACTGAATTTTGCACAAGATAGCACTACTCTATGGGACGGCAACCGGCTAAAGATTTTTCTACCATTTAGAGCCATATCAGTATCAATTCATATAGCTTTGACACTGGAAATGGAAAGAAAGGAAATGGTGATGCCGGCTTGATGAGTAAATGCCTTGAATCGCATGAGCCTCCAATTAGCTCTTTTCTGACATCTAAACACAACTGATCTCATCTCAGAAGAGACAAATGAAATCAACACAATCGCATGAAGACCCGTCTGAGCCACGGAAGCTCTCAGCCATAAAGAATGCCAGAATGTGGGCTCAAGAAAT